GTCAACATGCCAGCAGCACGAGCCAGTTACCATTTCGCTCTCCTTCTGCCGCCACTGCGACTGTTCATATTCAAAGTTCTCAACGACGCGTGTCAGCTCACGGCGCAGCTGCAGTCGTTGTGATGGTGGTGGTGATGATGTTGATGGTGATGGTGGTGGTGATGATGATGATAGTAATGGTGTTGTTGATAGTGATGTTGATGATGATGGTGGTGGTGTGCATGTGAGGTGTTAGGATGTGGGCACGAGGAACTGGACAGTGAATGCTCGACGCGTGTCACAGTTGTGCATGCACGGAACTGCAGACATGCACATGTGGGCGACGCGAGTGTCATCGCAACCCCGTTAACGGCCGCCGCCACCAACACAATCGCATGAGCTACTGCCACCTGCTGTGTGAGCGTTGATGATCCTTCTTCTTCGTCTTCCTCCTGCTCACAGCGCCAAGCGTCCAACCAGCACATTGTTGTGTGAAGGCGTTACAACGCAAACATCAACAACAACAGCAGCAACATCGCTTACCACAGGGGTGCACACAACACACATAGAAGAACCTCCACGAACAACCACACACACACACACGTACAACCACACACACACACACACACACACACACACACACGCAGATGCCACCACCACCACTGCAACCACTGGCACCGTGTTCCACCACACCTGTACGGCCCTGAGAGATCTGAGGCGCTGGCGAACGCGTTCCAACTCGTCCTGTGGCGGCGCTCCATATTGGGGGGTGGCAGCCGTGATCCTGGCACGCCAATGCACCATTGGCAGCATCAACAATTGCAGCGGTGGGTGGCGGTGGCAGTGGTTCACAAGGAGTGATGGAATGCACACAAGCGCGCGCACGCACACACAGAGGCGGACATGAACGGTTGACAGATGCACAGACGCACACACACAGACAAACACACGCATATGCACACACACACACACAGATAAACACGCCATACACATACACACACACAGACAAACACGCCATACACAGACAAACACGCACACACAAACACACACACACACACACACCATACATACACACACACACGCGCCATCGCCTCCTCTCACCTGGTGGTGGTGGATGAGAGCAGTGGGGTGAACTCGGGACCCCGCAATCGCGATTTGAACGACGACGACGATGATGATGATGGCGGTGGTGGCGCTGTTGCTGCTGTTGTTCCTCTGCCTCTTGTTGTTCCTGTTGCTGCTGCAGCTCTTGGTCCTGTTGATGCCGAGACACCGCCACGAACACCACCGCCAACGCCGCCGCTCCATGTTGGGTTTGCCGATCTGTCCACCATGTACGGTGATGAAGACGACGTGGGAGGTGCAGGCGTTGTAATTGAGCCAGCGGTCCCGCTGGTGTTGGTGTTGGTGTTGGTGTTGCTCGAATGGTACGCATCGACATCACGCTGATGGTGTTGGTGGTGCTGGTGCGGTGTTCCTGTTGCTGATGACGATGATGTTGTTGCGTGTCGCGGATAAGGCGAGCCGGTGGTGGCGCTGTTGCCCACACCCCCGCTCCCACCGAGCAGCAGCTGCTGTTGGCGTTGTTGGTGTTCGTGGTGGTGTTGCTGCTGCGCACGGGATGGCATGGGTGTTTGCATTGGGGCAGTGGCGGTGGTGTTTGCGGTCGTGCCACCTGCGCTGTATGCCATCCTGCTGCGGTGCAGTGGGATGGTGGATGGTGTTGCTGCAACGTCCATATCACCACGTTGCGAGTCGCCACCACGAGCATCACCACCACTTCCCATATGGAAGCTGTTCAGCGTTGCCTGCATGGATGACGGGGAGGGCGACAGCTGCTGCTGTTGCAGGGGCTGCTGTTGGAGGAACTGCTGTGATGTGAAATCACTCTGTCCGTACGCGTGTGGGCTGGAGCTCAACATTCCACCTTGCTGCTGATGCTGTTGTTGCTGCTGTTGTTGCCGCTGACGATACGCATCACCATCATACTGGTGGTCATCGACACCATCGTCGTAGATGGTGGGCAGCGACGCCATTTCTCCTTTCTGGTCTTCTCCTCCTCTTTGTTGTTGTTGTTGTTGTTGTTGTTGTTGTTGTTGTTGTTGTTGTTGTTGTTGTTGTTGTTGTTGTTGTTGTTGTTGTTGGTGTTGGTGTTGCTGTTGCAGCAGTTCGGTTGTGCTGATGTTGAAGAGCTGGAGCGCGGGGGTGCTGGCGTTTGCGTCTTCGCTCTGCGACAAGACGGACGCGTAGAAGCGGCTGGCGCTGGCGTGCGCGCTCAAATTCAGCAGTGTCTGGTTTGTGGCAGACAAGGAGGTGGGCGACGACGACAGGAGCGGCGGCGCCTGCGCGAGGGGCGACGAAGCCTGTTCTCCGCTCACGCCTGGATCAACTGGAGGTGCTGACGAAGGTGACGAGGGAGGAGGAGGATCAGCAACCAGCGCTGCTGAATGTTGCTGTTGCACACCCCTTTCCCCCTCTTCTTGCTCCAGCAGCTGCTGCAACAACGACACTGTTGCGGTGATATCTGGGCAGTGTGGTATTGTGTGCAGTGGTGTTGCGTTCCGTGGCGCAGTGGTGCAGTAGTGTGGTGTAGCGTTCCGTGGTGTAGAGTGTTGTGGTGCAGTCGTGTTGAATGTGCGATCTCTGTGGTGTGATGTGACGTCACACAAGGCAAGGAACGGCAGGGACACGTGTGAGTTTGTGCAGCGAATGCGTCCACCATACCCACCACAACAACCAACCAACCAACCAACCAACCAGCCGCCCCACTCACGCTCACTCCTCGCTCACTGTCTGTACACTGCAAGTCAAGCAAGCAAGCACAACAACAACACCACTGGAAGCACCACAACACACCACCACGGCTCTCTTCGTCTCTGACCGTTTCTCAAAGTCAAATTTGACGTTGAAGACCAAGTCAAAATTGACTTTTCTAGAAACGCACACACAGCAAAGCAAGCAAGACGCAGCAACAGCTGCAAGCATCTCCGCGGCCGCATTTTCATCGTCCACAACAGAAGAGAACGTACGTGCGCTGTGTCGCTGCTTGCTTGCTTGCTTGGTGTTGACGGCTGTTGACTGCTGTTGACTGTTCTTGTTGACTGCTGGTGACTGTTCTTGTTGACTGATGGCGGGGGTGGTCACACGTCACCGCGCCGTTTTGCTTGGTTATCTGACCGCGCTGCCTGCTCAACCCCTGCTATGCAAGCCTTGCTTCTCACCGTGTGTACTTGTGCAGCTCGTCGCCTTGTCAGCAGGACAGAGAGAGAGAGAGAAAACCATGCTTGTTGCTTCCACGCTCGGACGCACGGCGCTGCGGTGCCAGCGCGTCACGCTGATGACGCTTGTCGCGAACCAGCCACGCATCAGCGCCCCCTCCACCCTCACCAAAACCACACAGCGGGTGCGGGTGCTGTCATGTTTTGTCACTGCACATATCATGTCATCTTCACAAATGCGTGTGCGCGCGCCTCACACGCGCGCACACACACACATGCAGCCACACGCGCAGCCACACGCGCAGCCACACACACACACACACACACACACACACACACACACACACACACACACACACACACACCACACACACACTGCACGCTGCCTGGTTTGAACACTCCCGGCGTCCTTTCATCCGTTTGCTTTCATTTCACAACTCCTTGCTTTGCTTTTCTCACGCGCCTCCCTCCGCCCCTCCCAGGCGATGGCCACGTTCCGCACTTCGCGGGCCGCGACAGCGCGCGTGGCAAATGCGACGGCCACCGGAACCGGTGCCCGCGCGGCCTCGGGCTCCAACACACGCCGTCTTGTGCTTGGCGGTCTGGCCGGTGCAGGCATCATCACCGTTGGCCTCATGGGCGGTCAGTCATTGATGTGTGTGATTGTGTGTGTGTGTGTGTGTGTGTGATTGTGTGTGTGCGTGTGTGTGTGCATGCGCGCATGTCTCTCTGTCTGACATGCTCCTTCTCTTACCGATGCAACCTGCTCACACTCGTTGAGTGCACCTTTCTCTCTCCAACAACCCCCCCCCCCCCTCTTTAACTCACCGCAATGTTGTTTCGCTCCATAGCCACGATGGTGCGCGGCCTGACGGAGGGCGTGCACGACAACACCATGTGGGCGCCGTATGTGCACGAGCGCGTTGCCAGCACCTTCACCGCCCTCGGCGTCGGTATTGGTATCACCGCCGTCGCCACCATCGCCCTCTTCCGCACCGTAAGCTGTCATTGCGTGTATACGCGTGTGTGTGTGTGTGATTGTGTGTGCGTTTGTGTGTGCGCGTTTGTGTTTGTGTGTGCGTGAATTTACGTGCTTGTGTTTGTGTGTGCGTGTGCTTGTGTGTGCGTGTGTTTGTGTTTGTGTGTGCGCGAATTCACGTGCATGTGTGTGCATGCGTGTGCGTGTGGGTGTGTGTATGGGTGTCTGCTCGCTCTAATTCCTCGTACTCGATGCAACCCAACTGTCTTCCTCGCTCTCGCTTCAACTGACAACCCCATCTGTGCCCCCCCCCAAACACACACGCACAAATGCAGGGTGCCGTGACGTTCATCGCTGCTCGCCCGATTGTGTCGATGGTGGTGTCGCTTGGCGGCATGATTGCTGCCAGCACGCTGACCCGGAGCATCGACCCTGCCAACCTGCCCCTCAAGTACGCCAGCCTCGCCCTCTTCAACTCCGTCGTCGCCTTCACCCTCACCCCGCTCATGCTGCTCGGCGGGCCCCTGCTGCTGCGCGCGGCAGCCATGACCGGTGGCATTGTCGGCTCGCTCTGCCTCGTCGCGTCCAACTCCCCATCTGACACGTTCCTTGCGTGGGCCGGCCCGCTGTCCATGGGCCTTGGCGCCGTGGTCATCTCGTCGCTTGGTGCGGCCTTCCTCCCCTCCATGGCGGTTGCCTCTGTGCTCCACCAGGTATCGCTGTATGGTGGACTCGTGCTGTTCAGCGGGTTTGTGCTGTTTGACACTGCGCGCATCGTTGAAGCGGCAAAGCATGCCCCGGCCAACAAGTTCGACCCCGTGGGCGCAAGCATCTCCATCTACATGGACGCCATCAACATCTTCGTGCGCATTGCGCAGATTATGGCCATGAGCGGGGGCAACAGGCGCAAGTGATGGCAATCAAGGATGGATGGTGTGGTGTGGTGTGTGACAGGATGACTGTGGTGTGGTGTACTTGTGATGGAAGGGAATTCAACTGATGCTGGTCATGCGTGCTGTTGTGTACTTGTGTGTGTGTGTGTGTGTGTGTGTGTGTGTGTGTGTGTGTGTGTTTGTCTGTGTTTGTCTGTGTTTGTCTGTGTATGTCTGTGCATTGTTTGTTTTCCTTGTGACGACCTACTGTTACATTAACATGCATGCGTGTTGTCTGAACACCCTCGAGTAAAGTCAGCAACAACAATCGCACCATTCACACACGACAAGTGTAGACCTTTTGTTTCTTCTGTATTGACACAACACCACCTCCGCCAAAACCACAAACACAATGACTTGTGTTACGATAGCTGTATGCGATGAACACAGCCAGACAAGAAACCAACACACAAAAGGCAGAAACAAACAAACAAACGACCATTCACCAAACAACACTTGCAGTTTCACAACAACAGCAACCACAACACCAAACACTGAGCCTGTGTGCAAGACAACACTGTCACCATTCACACTCAACCACAGTCGCATTATCCCTTCATCTTAACCATTCCACCCACAGTCTCCAGCCACAACAACAAGCAGGCAAGGAAAGTTCAGTCGCATCAGCGCGCCCACAAGCACACGGGCTGCAATGTGCGAATGCCTGCATGCACGTGGGCGTGCGTGTGCGTGTGTGTTGGCTGGTTCACCTGTCGACCTCGCCGAACACAATGTCGAGGGTGCCGATGAGTGCAACAACATCAGCCAGCATGTGACCCTTGGCCATCATGTCAAGTCCAGCCTGCACAGCAACGCAGTGTGTGTGTGTGTGTGTGTGTGTGTGTGTGTGTGTGTGTGTGTGTGTGTGTGTGTGTGTGTGTGTGTGTGTGTGTGTGTGTGTTAGTAATGAGCTTGTTGTGGCAGTGTTGATGGGGGAAACACCGGAAGGAGAAGTGGTGCGGTTTATGGCACACACACACACAACACAACACAACACAACACACAACACACAACACACAACACACAACACACGCGCGAACAGCAAGGTGTTGGAGGAACGCACCAGGTGAGCAAAGCCGGGGGCCTTGATCTTGCAGCGGTAGGGCTTGGAGGTGCCGTCAGAGACAAGATACACGCCTGATGGTATCATACACACACACGCATATGAGCACACACGCGTAGAGTCAGCAGCTGAAGGAACAAAGCACACAAAGACACGCAAGCACACGCATGTGCACGCACAGGAAACACGACTGCTCGCTTTTATCTTTTGCACACCACCACCATCAACCACACCCCACCACTCCCACCACCACCACTCCCAGCCGCCTTACCGAATTCGCCCTTTGGCGCCTCAATGGCGGTGTATGTCGAGCCGGGTGGAACCTACCCACCACCACCACCACCATCACCATTGTTGACAGGAGCACATGCAAGGGAGAGTGAGTGAGAATTTCTTTGAGCAAAGCGCAACCACGCCATGCAGCCACAACTGTCACAACAACACCGCAACACATCACACCAAACAACAAGCCACTCACCACCACTCATAACAACAGGCCCCTCACCATCACTCATAACAACACGTTCTCCCCTCCTCCTCCTCCTCCTCCCCTTCAACCGACACCAACGCGCCACTACCATTACCACTACCACCACCACGATGCGCGCACCTGGTATCCCTCGGTGTAGAGCTTAAAGTGGTGGATGAGGGCCTCCATGGACTCCTTCATCTCCGCGCGGCGCGGCGGGGCAACCTTGGCGTCGTCCACGCGCACCTCGCCATCAGGCATGTCGTTGAGGCACTGGTTGATGATGCGCACAGACTGCCGCATCTCCTCGCAGCGGATCAGGTACCGGTCGTACGAATCGCCGCGCGAGCCAACCGGCACGTCAAACTCAACCTGGCAGCGACGCAGACGGTGGTGGCATTGGTTGTGGTGGTGCGGCGGTGTCGTGTTGTGGCATTGGTTGTGGTGGTGCGGCGTTGTGGTGGTGCGGCGTTGTGGTGGTGCGGCGTTGTGGTGTTGTGGCATTGATTGTGGTGGTGCGGCGTTGTGGTGTTGTGGTGTTGCAGTGATGGAGACAGGGAGAGAATGAGTCAAACCGAACACACACACACACAAAAAGAAAAAAGAGAGAGAGAGTAAGGCATGCGGCAGAGGCAGAGCAGCCATGCTTGACTGCAACTCCAGCAACAACCATCACCATTCAAACGATCACCATCATCACAATCAGTGAACCACCACCACCACCACCACCACCACCACCACCACCATCATCATCAAGCCACCACAGTTACACTGCCACTTCACCGCACCACACCTTGTCGTAAGCGTCGTAGGGCTGCGACTTGCGGAGGTCCCAGGGGATGCCGCTACCACGCAGCATGACGCCCGAGAACCCCCAGTCCAATGCGTCCTTGGCCGTGACAACACCGACGTCGACCAGCCGCTGCTTCCAGATGCGGTTGCCCGTCAACAGCTCCTCCACCTCGTCGATGCGCGCCGGGAACGCCTGCGCCCACTGGTAAATGTCCTCCATCAGCCCTGCATCGCGCCAACAGGCCAATTTTGTGTGCGTGTGTGATTGTGTGTGATTGTGTGTGATTTTGCGTGATTGTGCGTGATTGTGTGTGTGTGTGTGTGCGCGCGCATATGTGCGAGTGTGTGTGATTGTGTGTGTGTGTGTGTGGGTGTGTAAGCGAGCGAGTAAGTACACGCTTGCCCTCATATGCGTGTGTGTACGTATGCGTGCGCTCTAGTGAGCACATGTGCGTACCGATTGGCATGTCGAGGGAGACGCCGCCTGGGCGGACGTACGCCGCGTGCATGCGCGCACCAGATACGCGCTCGTAAAACTCCATCATCTGTGCGCAGGTGGTGATGGTGGTGAGGAAGGTGAGGGAGGTGAGACATGTCCGGGACAGCGCAGAGAACAAATCCACCAAGCACGCATCGACCAACACAACCAGTGCGCAGTAGAAGCAGTGCACACGCACACACGCACACACATACACACACACACGCACGCACACACACACACACACATGTACACGCTCGTTCACACATCCAACCACACACACACACACATCCACACACACACACCTTCTCGCGCTCCTCAAAGAGCCAGAGAAAGGGGGTGAGGGCGCCGACGTCGAGGGCGTGGGTCGTCACGCCCATAATGTGGTTCAGAATACGCGTCAGCTCCCCAAACAGCACTGCCAGCGGCGGTGGTGCAAGGAGGTGGTGACGTGAGGATGAAGTGATGGTGGTGGGGCGGTGGTGATGATAGGTGTGGCCGTGGGTATGGGTATGGGAGGGAGTGAGAAGGCCGGCCAATGTTGTGTGGTCGTGTCATCACAACACCACATGATACAGTGCACACGATTTACGCATACACACACACACATCCACAGACACACACATGCGCACCATATGCACACGCATCCCCGTGCACACACCACGCGTCTACGCACCGCGAATGTACTTTGCGCGCTCCGGGACCTCAATGTTGAGCAGCTTCTCCACAGCAAGCGAGTACGCCTGAGGAGGCACAGGCGAAGGCACACAGAGGAGAGGACTCAAGGGTAAGGCGGTGGAGGACACGGAAGCGATGCCCAAGTACCAGGCCCACACACGCACACCACACGCACACGCACACAACACACACGCACACACACACACACACCACACACACACAAAACACCACACTGCACCTGCTCGTTGCACATCATGGAGACGTAGTCGAGGCGGTCAAAGTATGGGAGGGCCTGCAGGTAGTTCTTGTACTCAATCAGCTTCTCTGTGCCGCGGTGCAGCAGGCCAACGTGCGGGTCTGCGTGGCGCACAATCTAACCCATCCAGTTCATGGGTGGTGGTTGCGTGGTTTGTGGTTGCGACGGCACACGTGCGCGCACTGTGTGAGCGAGCGTGGGTGCAGTCACGTGCGTTTCTGCCTTCATGCACGCACCTACACACTCGGTGCGTGCCCTTACAACCATGTAGACATGTGCAGACCCGAGAACACAGACACACACACACACTGCAGCGTCATCTCACCTCGCCATCAAGCTCAAGGACGAGGCGGAGCACGCCGTGGGCAGCAGGGTGCTGAGGGCCAAAGTTGACGGTGAGGTTTGACACCTCCTGCTCAGGGACATAGTCTGATGGGCGAGGGGGATGGACGTGTGTGTCTCGACTGTGAGCGCACAGAGATGATGATGCAGCGTCTTTTGCAAAGGGTTGCTGCTTGCTGACAGAGGGTATATGGAGCGCGCGCACACGCACACACGCACACATGTATACACACACACGCACACACACACACGCGCGCGCGCACGCATACGCTGGCGTACCGCGAGTGGGATGCTGAATGTCAAACTCCTTGTGTTTGCGTTGGGTCAGGTACTCTTCCCAGCCGTCCAAGTCATCATCAGCAGGCAGCGCATTCCTGTTGTGTGTGTGTGTGTGTGTGTGTGTGTGTGTGTGTGTGTGTGTGTGTGTGTGTGTGTGTGTGTGTGTGTGTGTGCAGGAATGAGTGTGGAAAGCAACCAGCACCACGACACGCTCACTCAATCATACACACTCCATCACACACACACATTCACTCAATCATGCACACTCCATCACACGCGAACGTACGCTGCTCTTTGAACAGGGCGGCAGGCGTGGAAGCCGCGGGTAGCTGCCCGCATGGCCATGCCAGCGCGCTGGCGCAGCTGCTGCACAAATGCCATGGTTGTGGTGCGAGGCTTCTGGTCTGCCTGGTTGTGTGCGTTAACGAGAGTTTGTGGTTTTGTGGTTGTTGCTGACCCTGCTGATATTGGTTGATGATGGTGTTGGAAAAGGCAGAAACCACTGAAAAAAGTATACGACACGTTGGATTTGTGC